GGGGAGCAGGTCGGGGGGACGTGCCGGGGACGGGGACTGAGCGGGGTGCAGGTCGGGCGTGCTGGAGCCATGCCCCCCATGTGCTGTTTCACTCCCCTTTCCCGTGTCAGGCTCGTTCCTGTTCCAGGGGGAGCCGGACCCCGGGGGGGGCGACCCAGAGCACCCCCTCTCCGAGTACCCCTGGTTCCACGGCACCTTGTCCCGGCTGAAGGCTGCCCAGCTGGTCCTGGCTGGCGGCCCCAGCAGCCATGGTGTCTTCCTGGTGCGACAGAGCGAGACCCGGCGTGGGGAGTACGTGCTGACCTTCAATTTCCAGGGCAAGGCCAAGGTGAGTGCCCGAGCCCGTGGACCCATCCCCAGAGAAGGGCCAGGAGCCCTGGGGCCGCGGAGCCTGTGGCCATGGTCTGACCCGCTTCTCCCCTTCCCCCCGCCAGCACCTGCGCCTGTCGCTGAACGAGGATGGGCAGTGCCGCGTGCAGCACCTCTGGTTCCAGACCATCTTCGACATGCTGGAGCACTTCCGAGTGCACCCCATCCCGCTGGAGTCGGGCGGCTCCAGCGACGTCACCCTGGTTAGCTATGTGGTGGCCTCGCAGCGGCTGCATGGTGAGAACGTGGCGGGGGGCCCTGCTGCACCGGGGGTGGGGGGCAGCAGCCCCAGGGCACTGTGGGGTGGGTGTGCCGGGCGCCCGGGAGGGCACATCAGCTGCAGTTCCATCGGAGGCTCACAGCTCATTCATAACTGGCTGGAGGAGGCGTGGCTGGAGGCTCCCTGTCCGCCTGCTCCCCCGTGGGCTCTGGGGGGGGGAGGAGAGCCATGGGGCTGGCTGTTCCTTCTCTGTCCGTCTGTCTGCAAGGCTGGGTCTCCGTGCCATGGGGGTTCCCATCCGGCTGTCTGGAGAGTGTCTGTCAGGGGAGGGGCATTTCCAAGCCCCAGGCTGGTTGTTCCCCATCTGGCTTGGGGGAATGTGTGTTTGAGTCTTGCTGCCTGGGAGAGGAAGCATGCGTGTGGTTGTGGGGGAGGGCGTGTGTCTATCTGGGGCTGGGGGAATGTGTGGAGGGAGGCAGGTGGGGGGGTGTGGCATGCATCTGGCTCAGCGGGGAGTGGGGGCGTGGCATGCGTCTGGCTCAGTGGGGGGAGACGGGCATCGCCTGTGTCTGGCTCGGGGAGGCAGGTGCACGTGTCCAGGGGGGCAGAGGGAGGTGGGCTCATGCGTCTGGCTCGGGGGGCGGGGGGGAGTGCGTGGGTCCAGCTGGGGGTGGAGGACGGAGGTGGGTGTGGCGTGCATACGGCTTGGTGGGGAAGGAAGTGGGCGCAGTGCGTGTACGGTTGGGGAGGGAGGAAGGTGCTTGGGGAAGGCGGGCATGGGTCCGTCGGAAGGGAAGGGGGGGCGCAGATGTGTTAGGAGAGGGGGTTGTCCAAGCCCTATCTGGCAGTGTCCTGTCCTGTGTCTGTCCATCCGTCTGTGCTTTGTCTGTCCCCCCCAGGCTGGGCGGCTATCCGCGTCTGTCCCCCCCACGTCCATCTGTCTGTCCCCGTATCTGACGGGCGTCTCTGTCTTCCCCCCCCTCGTGCCCCCCACCCCTGCAGGCAGGGACAGGGCGGGCAGCCGAGCCGCCGCCTGTGAGCCGACCCAGCGCAGCCCTGACTCGCCCGGCCTCGTCTCCATCGGCGCGAATGACTGTTTGTAAGTGTGAGCCGCGCCGGGGGGCCTGGCCCCGAGGGAGTGAGTGTCTGTTGTGTGCGCCATGGCCCATCATGCCATCCATGGAGGGTGGGGGCGTGTCTGTGAGCTGCCGCTGCTCACCCCCATTCCTCAGAGCTCCCGCGGGCAGGGGGCCGTTACAGATGTTGGGGGGGCAGCAGCTGCTAGGGGAGAGGGGTCCCAGGTCTGTCAGGCTGGCCCTCACAGCCTCCTGTGTGGCCCTGTCCCTGATGTGGGAAGTGGGGGGCTGTCACCCTGTTATTGATCGGGGGGTGGGGGCTGGGATTTCAGTGTCAAGGGCATCAGCTAACACCTGACCCCATCTGTCTGTCTGTCTGTCTGTCTCCACAGAGCCGATCACCTCCCATAGCCGGCCCCCCCTGCCCCCATCCTGGCACGCGGCTCCGGAGGGGGGGCCCCTGCAGCCCCCTTGGCTCATCCCCGAAGCCCCAGCCCCCGGCAACCCCTCCCTGCCGGAGGAGGAGGAGGAAGGGGGCACCACAGGGGACCCGGAGGACGGGGCCACGGGGCGGCTCCTGCAGCTCCAGGCTGAGGAGCCAGAGGGAGACACGGGGCATGCCCGGGCCGTCAACAACCAGTACTCCTTCGTCTGAGCCACGTTGGGGGTGGGGCAGCCCCACTGAGCACCCCAGGGCCCTGCCTCAAGGGAGCCCCAGCCCCACTGTATGCCCCCGGGCCCCGTGAGAGGGGGGCCAGCCCCCTTGAATCAGCTTCCCAACCTCCCACCTTACATGTGATCATTGAGCCTCTCCCCTCCCCACAAGATTGGCCTCAGCGGTACAGAGCCCATTGGGGCAGGAAGGTACGTCGCCCCCCCATTGGCAGAGGGGCTGGGCACCGAAACACTACAGGGCAGGGCCTCTAGAGCACTACGGGGAGTAAGGGACTGGTCTTCTCCAGGCCAGGGGGGCCTGTCCCTTCCCCCCCCCCCCCCCGGCTCCGCACGCTGTCACTGAATGTATCGAGTCTCCGAATGTATTCTCATGCATCCCCCAGTGTGACCTCTGACCCCAGGGCGTTCAGCCCCCTTCTGGCCCTGTCCTCCCTCCTCCCATCCCAAAGCAACATATTTATACACCTCCCGGAGCCAGCCTAGGGCTACGGGCCAGGCCCTCACACCCCACGTTCGACTGGCCGCACCTTACGGACCCCCCCAGTAAATTAAAGAGAAGATACTATATATGTCTGTCCCCTCGTATGTCCCCCAACCTGTGCGCTGCCCCCATCTGTTCTCTCCTCCCTGCCTAGTCTCACCCTGCACAGCAGTGCCCCTCGCCCTCCACGGCGCACCCTCCTCGCCCCCTTTCAAAATTATTTTTCTACTGTGGAGTAGTTAGACTATCCTCCCCCGACCCAGCCTTGGACCCGACCCCACCCCAGCCCCCGACTCCGCCGTGTCTGGTTTTTAGTTGGCCGGGGTCCGTTTGTTGGTTTTTTGTTCATTTTTTTGGTGTTTGTACGAACCTCGTTCACCTTTTAAAGAAAAAGAGGGAAAGAAAAGCTCGAATGCAGCGGCAGTGGCTCCGTCTCTTCTGTGCCCTGGGGGCTGGATCGTCAGACACCCCGCACTGGCCTTGCCCCCAGGAGTGGCCACCCCAGCGCCAAAGGAGTGTGAGACACCCCCCCTCCCCCAAGGGCCTGGGGACGGTGCTCGCAAAGGAGTGGGGTGACTATGGTGGAGTAAATGTCCCCCCACTGGGCATGGGGGGGCTAAAGGGAGCGTGGGAGCAGGCCCTTGGGGGATAAATACTCCCCTGTGTCTCCCAGGGCAGAGGCCGCAGGGAGCTGGGCCAGTGCTGGGAAGGGAGGGGTCTAAGATCTCTCCCCCAGGCCAGAGTCCCCGGCATGCTGACCGTGAGGGTACAGGCCAGACACCCGCCGAGCCCCAGCCGCTAGGGTAAATCCCCGGCCTCCAGAGCCTGTGCTGCTGCTGAGGGCCTGCAGCCCCCTCTGCCCTGGCCGGGGACCTGGCCTCGCCGCCCCCCCCCCCGGCCTCCAGAGCCTGTGCTGCTGCTGAGGGCCTGCAGCCCCCTCTGCCCGGGCCCTGGCCTTGTCCCTCCCACTCAGTACCGCAGCCTGGCTGTGGGGGGGCCTGCAGCGGGTGGTGCACGGTCAGTGCAAACGTGTGGCGCTGACCCCTGGCCAGAGCTGGTCACTTAGCTCAGCTGGGACCCCTGTGGGGACAGCAGGGGATACCTCCTGCCCCAGACTGGAGCACTGGGGCCTGCCCCCTGGTGCTGCTGGGGGTGAGTAATGGCATGGGGGGAGTGAAGGATAACCCACCCCCCCGCACCCCTGGGCTGCGCAGATCACACGGGGGCAGGCCCCTGCTGGCTCCCAGCTGCAGCCCCTCTGTGCCCTGCCCTGGCTCCAGGTACAATGGACCTGGGTCCCCCCACCTGGCAGCCGGGACCAGGGAGGACCAGGCTGGCCTGGGAGGTGGGTCCTGGGAGTGGATCGAAACACCAGGGGGAGCTGCTGGTCCCTGTGGTTTCCCTGGAGCTCCCCTCCACCCGGGGACACGGAGCCGAGAGCAAATAAACCAGAATCGCTGCATATGGGAGATCAGGAGGGGCCCAGGGCTGGCCTAGCAGGGGCTGCAGGTCGGGAGTGAGGGGCATCGGGCAGGGCTGGGCTGGCAGGGGCTGCGGGTTGGGAGTGAGGGGCAACGGCAGAGTTGGGGGGGGCAGGGCTGGGCTAGCAAGGGCTGCGAGTTGGGAGTGAGGGGCACCGGC